ATGCAATACTCAAGTAAAGTACTTGAGTAAATGACCTGACATGTTTTACCTCAGATCCTCAATGACAGTCAGAGTAAACCTCACCTTAAACTGCAAATGAATGTCTATGGATGTAAACAGAACAGATGAAGAGGTTATCTGGCTCGGTCAGATATCAAGAGTGTCTTGTGCTCCCTTTTGATCTGACACGAGAATCAGGCAGAAAGTACAGTAATTTCCTCGCCATCTTCTAATCTAAACAGGTCTAATTACAGGCACTAAGGTGTATTTGGGTGGATTCATAGCCTACACATTAGAGCACATCCATTGCACAACAGCCAGGAAATGGGGTGTGCTGTACAATCGGACAGAACCGAGATCCTTCTTCTTTTGAGTTGCATCACAGAAACTCAAAGTGCTGCGGTGCACCTCATTTCATGAATCCTTGTGTAGATTGAGTAAGATGAAGTAATTAGAGGCTTTAGTTTGGATAGCTAGCTATCTGCTCTGCTGCACATGAAGGCAGGGAAGGTATAATTAGAAACTAGCCAGCAACACCAAAGGGTTAGGTGGCAAACACTCACTGGGACACACATACTTTGTTATTACCTCTGCAGTTATCATTTGATATGGCAGCATCCTGTCCTGTTTTTAATGTTCGTCTGATGACATAGCTGCAATGGGCCATCCTCTGGCAGGATGTGGCCTGTTGAGGCTCCAGTAATGACTCATTAAAGTTGTATGTTTGTTGTAAGTATGCCTTCGGTGAGTATGTGTGCATGCACATATTTCAGCAATTGTGTGTAATGAGTATGAGAAGCATATCTGGGCCAAACATTTAAACCATCCACTCAGCCGTAACCACTGATTTGTGAGGACTGGGCTACAAGTTAAACACCACAAGTGATTGTTCAAATAACTCTTGCTTTCCAGTAGGGGATGGTTGTTATTTAGCCAGAAATGTTTCCCATCCATACCAACCGTTAAGTGAATATTTGGACTAAATGGTTTAGACTCTAATTGATGCTGGAGAGTTTATATTCCATACATCCTGAGTGAAAGTGCACTGAAACAATTTGCCTAAAAGACACAGTAGATCCGAAAACACTACCACCAAGAATAAAGGGCAGAAAGAAGGAGTGAGGTTATGACATGATGTTTAATAAAACAAATATATTCAGATTTTCTATATATAACATTTTCTTATAAAACAATATATATATAACACATTTACAATGCATGCAGCACCATGTCGTTATAATACTGGTGTTGACAGAATTCAATAGCTCAATTAAGTGCCACCTCCAGGATAATATTTACAATACAGTAATTTACTGCAATAACCGAGGCTTGAAGTTCCATAAAAAGAGAAACAAAACAGCTCTGCCATTACCGATGACATGAATCGATCTTCCCAAGACTCCTGAAATGTCACTTCCTAACTTCCGACTCCTCATCTGTTGATGGGGAATTGGATCAGTCCGTTTTGCACTGTTGCATCCCTCTGGGTGTATCACTTTTCCAGAAATCATGTCTATCCTTCCGGGTGCTGTTTGTGTCAGCAACTTTGGCAGGAAAGAATGTCTTAGGTGTTGGGTGTCTCTGTGTGTCAGCATCTCAAGTGTATGCAAGGCTGAAAAAGTGTTTGTCAGTGTCTGTGACTGATTTTGTTGGTTTGCTGGGTGTGTGTTGTGTGTTGTGTGTGTGTATGTGTGTGCGTATATTTCTGTCTTTCTGTGTGTGTCCACACGTTTGTGTCAGCGTCTCTGACAGGTGTGTAGGTTCCGGGCTGCAGTCCTGCTGACACTGTGGTCTCGCTCTCCTTTCTCTGGTCGGCAGGCCATGCCGTCGCCGCAGTCACAGCGCTGAAACAGCTCCAAGCCGTGGGTGCCTTTCCTGCGGTGGCGTGTACACACCTGGCCCTCCGTCAGCACAGGCTTACAGATGCGAGACCAGAAGTGTCTGGCACAGCACAGACCCTCAGAGCAGTCTGCAGACCTCAGGCAATTATCCCCCTCCTGGCCTGGAGATAGAGGGAAGAAAGATGAAACCATGTTACATGAAGCACACCTCACTGAAAACTTACTGTGTTGTTACTCAAACCGAATAAAGACTGATGATTCTGAACAGGGCGCTCACCTTTCACAGAATTAGGCTGATGAGCGTTGCCAGTGGGCGCCTTCTTGGCATGATGCTCCATGGTGTTGTTGTTTTTTTGCAAGCCAGTGGTGATGGATGCATCTGTACCATCTATGTCATTTGCCTGGCAAACACCTAGAAAGATAAAAAAGGAAAGAAATGCATTAATGGTCTGTTTTTTTACAACTACCATGGATATCACCCCCCACCACATGCGCAAATTGTAATTAATGGATATTCAGAGAGGTCCCTATGAGTCCAAGAAAACGATCCGCAGCAATCAGAATATCATCATCGACTTTTATTTCAGATTGGAAGCTTCTGCTCACCGTTGCTGCATCGGTTTCCTGCGCAACACATTGAGTCCCGTGCGCAACGCTTCCGGCTCTTACGGCAGGGCAGACAGGCGCCTCGGGCGTCGTTGCAGAATTCATCCCCTCCACAGTCTTCATCATCCGTGCAGACACCTGACTGCTACAGTTTGATAAAAAATAAAACAAACAAAAGCAGCGTGTCATTGAAGTATTGAGATATTACGTATGAAACTTGCATGAAGGAAACTCATCGTGACGCACAGAATGGACTTTTACGCACGAGGATTACCTGCAAGGTGTCAACGGGTAATTTGTGTCCCACGCTACCGGAGGGAGAAGTGCGCGGACTCGGACTGACAGTGTCGGCGCCTTTGCTACCCGAAGCACCGGGTAAGTTTTTGATGGCGTTGGAGTTCATCAGGACTGTCCCCGCGTAAACGTCCCCAAGGTATCCAAACAGCGTGAGATACACAGCCAAGAAGCGGCGCGCTGACGGAATCTGCATGACTCTCCTCTCAAACTCTGCTGTGTTGCAAACAAGCGGAAAAAAATTCCCTTCTCTTTGGCTGAGAGAAAAAAAACAAAAACGACTGAAGTCCAAAGCGGCCTTGAATCCTGAATCCCAAAGTTTCCAGAGTATCGGCACGATGCTTTCGAAGCCTCCTGACTCACAGATCCTGGGATGATCTCTTTATACATGTGGACCTGTTTGTCTTCCCGCCCCTCGCTGTGCACAACAAAGGCGGAGGGGTGGAATTTCAAAGAGAGCCCCACTGTACGGAAATGGCCATCTATTCTCCCTGCACAGGACTGCGTTTCACAATGTTTGTGTAATGATAATGACCTGCAAAGTCTGTCTGAATGCCCATCACTCACTGACGCAAATAAAGTAGATCCACATTGAGGACTCACTGAGCCCACTTGGTATAAAACTACATTTGAAATAACAAGAAAGGAGGGATTTTATATGTTTCTCTTATACATTTGTTTTTTTTCTTAGAACTTCTTAGAATTTTGTCAAGGTCCACCGACTTCAGAACATTTGTGGAAAACAAATGTGATAGTTTCATCACTTTGGCAGAACCCATGGGGTGTTTTTGATGATCGTTTCACACTCTTTATAAGACAAAATGACTTGTTTAAAAGTCATTTGCTTCTTGTTTAACTCATCACTTATTCAAATGATAACAATTACTTGGTTTGTCGAAATGTGTCGATGCACTTTTAATATTTTTAATATTTTAATGACTTCCACACTGTTATAGGTGTAATTAATCTAAACTAGTAAATGTATTTGCTACAGAACATTCCTCACAATGTGGGATTTTGTGTTTCTCTCTTCATAAACTCAGTTAGGCTTCTTTGTAAAAAAAAAAAAAAAAAAAAAAAAAAAGCTGTTTGGTTATTCCAGTTTCTTTGACATTCAAGTAGCCTAACTGCCCTTTGGCTGTGTGAAGACGGTGATTGAAGTTACTTGCGTCGATTAACTACTTCATTTGATCCTTCTGATTGCAAAGGGGGCAATTATGCTCCAAAGTGTGCTTCATTACACCAGTGGCGGACATCAATGTGTAGGATATGCAGACCATTAAGGGGTGTGAAAAGTTTACCGAATTAATGGACTTCCGCGGCGAGGCCTTTCAGGGCTGACTGGCACTTTGAGATTAAAGGCAACTCTGATCTGTCTCTGGTCTCTGACCCGTTGGGCTCCCCCCACTGCAATAAATATCCACCCTAAGGCAAAAATAAATACCCTGAAATATTCAGATTGAGTATTTTCCTTTTTTTTAAGACTTAAGTTTTTAAAAGTGAGTAAATATCTTGAATCAAAGCAGTGACATGTTCTATCAATTAATTGCCTCCTGAAAGTGAGAGACAAGTGAAACTGGATTTTGTCAGTTTCCCATATGCCCAGAAAAACTCACAGGTGCTGAAGTGCGTGATGGAAACGTGCCCAGAAGATATCTTGGCACTTGGACGTCATCTGCTGGTCATGCGTCTATGTGTGTGTGTGTGTGTGTGTGTGTGTGTGTGATGCGTGCGCGAAAGAGAGAGAGAGAGAGAGAGAGAGAGAGAGAGAGAGAGAGATGCGCCATGGACACCTGACAAACACACTGTAGCACTTTGTGCGTTTGAATTGCTATATATCTTTTGAAGTGGAGCTTTTATCTCCACTTTACTAAATGTCAGTGCTGGTAAGGTGAGCTCCTTTGATGCACTTTGATCCCCTTTGATCTCGCAAAAGTGTCACCCTGTTGTTATGGCTGAAGCCATTTCCCTGTCCCCCCCAAACAGATCTGTTGTGCGAATAACACTGAGACCAGAGAAGCTGAATCATCTGCACTTACCACTAAGTGGATGACATTAACTCCAGGACTGATTATTAGATCTCAGGCAACCTTAACCAGTTCACATCAGGCTGAGGCAGTTGGCTTGAGATAGATTCTGTCTTACCTGCAGCTCCCTCCTGTGGCCACAGCGGTGAACTGTAAAATCCCCACAGCCTACCACAGCTCTTAATCATTGCATGCTGTTAAAAATAAATTATAAATAAGAGACAAACACCACTCAAAAGTATTGTTTTTACTCTATAATTTTAAAAATCTTACACGTGGCACTCTGCAAAATCAATTTACAGCAGAATAAACAGCATAACACAAGGCAAATATCAGGTAACATTGCAGAAGGCGGTCAATATAAGACTCAAAACCAGTGGTTTGTAAAGTGATGGCATACATAAGGCTTTGTGATAAGCATAACCTGCCCTTAATACAGTAAAATACTTATGGTATGCCTACAGAAGTAAGATTTCTTCTCATTTTTATCCCTCCATCAACATTATTCAATGATTTATATGATATAAATGTCAGTGTGTCAGTCTGTTTGGCTTCCTGGTATGAAATATGAGTTGAGCTGTTCAGCTTTATTCAGACCAAACAATAAAATGATAATTTGGATGATGATGCGTTATGATCAATGCTATCAGACCATCAAAGATTGTCAACAGTCGCAAACAAGAATATTGTTTCCGTATTTGTGAAATGTTCAAAAACTGCAAATCATTCTTGCCATCTCTAAATGCTCAGGTTTCAGGTGATGGATGGTCCCTCTGAGCTATGATTTATTGTTCACGTTGTATCAGGCCAGTTGTGGTTGACTTAATGAGCCCATATTAGATATTTAGAGAAAAGCATGTCATTGCAGACATATGAGATGTGGGAGATTTGTATAGTTTTACTGTCAGTAAATGTTCTTGTGAGATAAATCAAAGGGGTAAACAGGAAATTTATTCATATACAGTTTTGTCAGCCATCAAATGACTAGACATTTTCTTTCCACGGTGATTAATGTATTTATTAGATATAACAAAAGATGAGAAGCAGCCATCTCAGAGGACACATACGTTTTTGAGGTGTATATGTGTTCATGCAGCATCGAAAAGGACTTGTGATGTTAATTTTGTATGCCATTGATTTAAGGCACTTACATTTCTTCTGATTTTATGCTCTGACTTTTGGACATGAGAAGTGAGGAGCTGGGTGACAGACCATGGTGCTAAGTTGTGAGTTTCATAAAATGTAATCTCCTTTTTTTTCCTTTCGTCTGTCTCCAGGAGACATATTAAAAGTTCCATAAAATGATATTAAGTCAAGGTAGTCTAGATGATGTGAATGTGGTAAATCTTGCCTCCAGAGAAGTGGATGGTTAATTCATATGGATTAACTTAACATTGTTTAAACCTTGAGAATACCACTTAGCACAATGTAACGGGGTGTCAAGTGATATCAAACAAATCGTCACTCAAGTTTACAAGTTGACACAAGTCTCCAATTTTCTAAAGAAGGAAGTCAAGTACTTTACAAAGTAATCAAGCACAAAAAAAAATCACTATACAAAAACAATAACCAGTACTGTCATCTCACCACCACTTATTATAATTTATCAATAACAGCACCAAAGACATTGAAACCATGTTCACAGTTATGTCAGAACTATACAGGAGCAAACAGAGGACGAGGCATTTGGGTGATTTAAAAACAAAATTAAGAAGTACGTAGGTCGAGAAGCATTCATATGCGTGATTAAAAGCATTTTAAAGAACAAAAAAACGAGTGACTTCATCTACAGAAGCTTAAAATTAGCTATAACTGCTGATTTTCTCAGTTAATGGTCTTAAGTGCATAATGACACATTGCTTCATGGAAATACTAGCTGACATTTCATGTGTGTCGGTGTGTGATTCATTAAATTTTAAGCAGGGCACTTAAAGAGTCACGTCTCTTTCCACTGAATGCACAGTGTTTGTGCTTTTCAAGGTAGGTTAATCTTACATAAAGTGTACTAAGTATTTGATTTTAGCCTGGTTGTGTTCATGTGTGAGAATGTATCTTGTAAATTCAAATACTATGTACCGTGCATGCTGTATGCCCTATGGATGTTAAAGAAGTAAATCAGTGACATTCAGGTTAGTCTTGAGCACTTGATACCAGTTTAACTTGCAAACTGTAGTGTGTGGATCTCTGGAAAGTATCGGAGATTGCAGCAAGTGGCTGCGTCTCAAAACCCAGGGAGCATCTGCAGTAACATCTTATACCCTCCACCAAATATTTCACCAAATATTGCGGAGAAAAAAACAGAAAATAAATCAATCATCAGCCTGCCCTCTTTTTGAGCAGTCCATCATCACATTTTCACACTTATTTATCCTAGAACCAAAACGTAGACAGACTGTCGAACATTCATCCACCCACTAAACATCTTTCCCTGTTACATGGGAAAACCTGGCTCCATTATCAGCCTCTGTTGTATTTTGTGTGTATATGTGTGTATCCCTGCACTTTCTTTGCCTTTTCCTTTAGAGCCGAGTGTAAGACAACACTGAAGAAGTGCTACAGCAGTCCCATTATAAATGCTTGATCCAGAGCCACAGTGAAATAAAGGCATATCGGTGACCCAGAGGGTTTGCCATCCATCTGTTTATCTTCTTTTCCATATGCACTCTTAAAAGCAGTTTTTTTTTTACAACACAGCTGTGTCCTCATGAAGGCCTCCAAGCCAACAAAAGAAGAGTTCCGTTTGGTTTTTAAGGGGAGCGGACTTCAAAAATCAACGTCCCAGCCGGAGTTATCATCGGGGGGCGGGTCCTCGTTGTCCTCTGGGAAGCTGTCGAAGTTACTTGTGTCAACTGCTGATGTGACCTGGTGGAAAAACAGAAGAATCATTAATAGAAAGAGTAAACAATCATACAGAGAATGGATTTCGAGTATGAAAGAGAAAAAAAATGCTAACGAAAAAGACAATCAGCAGTGTGCACTTACATTGGGAATAATAGGAGGCGTCAATGTCCCCTTCTTCAAGCCCTCCCAGTTAAAGCCCTCAAACCATCTAAAGGAAAAACAGCATCACTTGGTCATTTTATAATTAAGTTTTATTGCACAATTATACTGTGAAGACAGATGAATAAATGAGAGGATTGTATTCGTTTATAGACGTGCTTACTTGTGCTTTTGGATATCTTTGACACCATTTTTCAAGTTTCCCAGTCGTTCAGAAGGATTATCCCTGCAGTAGACCAAAAAAACATATGATGAATCAGCATACAGACTTCAATGAGTTTAAAGAGCTTAAGTGCCAACACTTACCTGCATAGCTTTTTGATTAGGTTGGCAGCATTTTTGGTGATTTTCTTTGGAAATTCGATCATGTCGATGCCTCTCAGGATGATGTTGTAGGTTTTCATAGGATCAGGTCCAGAGAATGGAGGGCTGCATAACAAAGGCAAAGATCAGTCTTGTGTGACAAATGCGTTTGTATGGAATTTAACCAAGTGATATTTCACTGTCAACTTTTAAATTGGTCACTTTTTTTTAAAGCAGTTGTTGTTGCGTATGATACCATGTTTGCAATCACAGGGAACACTACAGATACTAGTTTTATGGACATGCCCAGGCCAGTACCTGCCAGTTAAGAGCTCAAACATGAGGATTCCTAGAGACCAGTAGTCAGCTGAGATGTCATGGCCCTTGTTCAGAATGATCTCTGGTGCTACATACTCCGGCGTCCCACAGAAGGTCCACGTCTTCTTCCCAAACCCGATCTTTTTGGCAAAGCCAAAGTCGACCTGAGGAAAAGAGAATATTTGGTTCTGTCAGTCAGACAAAGTTGAAGAAGAATTTGAATTCATTGTATATATAATTTGGTCCATATTTGTATCAGATCATATTCATTCTTATGTATAATAATCGTGAAGCTGGGAAGTGTGTAATTATTTCAGTATTACAGTTTTTCACTTGATGCTTTGGCATGATGGATAGAAAGAGTTGAGCAGCTGGTTGCTGCTCTGCCAAAAGCTACAAACTGGTTTCTCCATGAGGAGAGAAGAGAATGGCGGCGCCCCAAAAAACACAGAACCCAACATAACCTCAATTATACTTTTCTTCATACTATAATTATACTTTTATGAACAGCCAACATGATGCAAGTGTTTAAATTTCTTTTGATCCTTCATTGTAGCATCAAAGAAGGATGAGCTTTATTTGATTTCTGCTGATCTTTTTTATGCAGCATTTCTGACTTCCACAAAAGACACAGAAAATGTGATTCAGAGGTGGTAATCCCCTATTGATGCCTTACCAGTTTGGCATAGCCCCTGTGGTCCAATATAAGGTTCTCTGGTTTGAGGTCTCTGTAGATGATTCCTTTGGAATGCAGGTAGGCAAAGGCCTCCACCACGCAAGCCGTGTAAAACCTGGTGGTTGAGTCTTCAAATGAACCCCTGCAAACACAGCATAACAATAGAGCTGAACTATGAACTGTGTGATATCTAACTGCAGTCGTCCAGCAAAAACATAGTTTGTTAGACCAACCAAAGAGGCTCTTCAAATCACCATATGATTTAGCATATTTAAAGCACACATGCTATATATATATATATATATATATATATATATATATATATATATATATATATATATATAGCGTATATATATATATAGTGTATATATATTGTATATGGTAGAAAGCTAACATTGTTTGAGATATAAATGTGTAATTTATGTCAGCGCTAAATGTGTTAAGCTCATGTGAACCACAGACATTACTGTAATGGTAAATTGAAAACTGTGAAGGGGTAATAATTGGAAATCTTGCAAAAGAACATGACTCAAATACTTGAGGTTTCAGGATTATTATTATAACTGCAACTCTCGACATGTTGAGGTACTTCCTCTTTGCAGCATTAACAGAAATGTGACACAGCTAATGCAATTCAGCTTTATCTGACCTGGTGAAATAGAGCTTACCGGTCTCTAAGAATGGTCCACAGCTCTCCGCCTAAACAAGCTTCCATCAGCATGTAGAGGTACTTGCTGTCCTTGAATGTTCTGTAGAGTCTGAAAACACAAAATGGATGTTATCGCAAACTAAATATTTGATGAATGCCTGGTTGGAGAAGTATAATTAATACAAATTTTGAAACATACTATTATAAATCATATCTTTATGCCTGTTGTGGGATGTAATTATTTCATTAACACAAATAAAAACCACAGCTGTGTAAGAAGCAATTTTAGTTCATTCTTTTTTAAATACTGGTCGGAAATAAAGCAATTGTTTTGTTTAGATTTTTGCTGATACTACTTACGATATCCAAATGATTGAGAAAAAAGTTTATTTGCGGCTTAAGGCAACAACAACTGCAACATTTGAGAGGGTGTGTAGACCTTTATATAGACATTGTATATACTGTATAGTGTAGAATAAGAATAAAAACGTGTTATTATCTATCAGGGTCCAAAGAAGATGGAACATTTCCCAGCATACATAGATAAGAAAGCAGGAAAAAAAAAATGTATAGTTCACCAGGGTATCTCAGGAACATCACAGGTAGACACACATTCATTCACTCACTGTTTCCAATACACTTGACTTGCATGTGAGAGGAAACCTTTATCGACATTACAAAGAAACTGCGAGCTCCGTGAAGAAAACCGTTGTAATCATGACCCTCTGGCTCTAAGGTAATAAAGTACGGATCCTTGTAATACGTGTGGCATATGCAGTAGATTTATATTGTGTTTCAGTGAAGCTGTTTAGGGGGTGTACCTAACAATGAAGTCAGAGTGGGCCTCCTGCATGATGAGTTTCTCTGAGCGAATGTGCTCTTGCTGTCTTGTGTCGACAATGTGCCGCTTCTTCAGGATCTTCATGGCAAAGGTTTTGTTCTCGTCACTCTTGAGCTGAACCTGCAGTGGGGAAGGGAAGAAAGAAATTCAGACACATGAGGTCATCCTGCGCATTAACCCGCACAGCCTGTTAGACAATTGCAAAGATGTAAAAACAGATCATTCATGTTTCTGTCACAGTGCAATGCCCCCTACCAGCTCGACGCGACCAAAGCCACCAACCCCCAGCGTGTCAATGATGTTGAAGTCAGCTAGGTTGAGATTGAAGAAGAACGCATTCTCTGCTTCATACCTGTGGTGCCGGAAAAAGGGGAAAAAAGACAGAATGGGAACAGGATTAGAGACGAGATGAAGAATGAAAGAGATAATCCACTTTCAACAACCTGAGACAAAATATCCGTCTCTCTTTCAGCTCATTTGTTTGCAAATCTTAGAGGATTTAACTCCTAGTAATCTATCAAGGATGTTATTGAGGATGTGGAGTATATTAATTTGAACTTGTGAACAGGATGTGTTTGAGTTTAGTCCTCTGGTAAAGCACTCTGACTTCTCTTTGAACACAAACTATTTATTCCCAGCTTGTCCCCATTCTTGATAGGAAAGAACAAAGACGGGACGTCCGTCACACAAGCCACTCACTACTCAGCTGGCTCTGAAGACATGCCTTGGCTCTGCCATCGAACACCCCAACATGCCATTGCAGACCTGCACATGCTGGTGGCGGAGATTGTTTCCACGTGTCCACCCCTTATCCCCAGATGCCTCGTGTCTTCTTTGGTTATTGTTTGATCCAGACAGAGTTTCATCAGCTCAGTCTCTGGATCAGTGGGCTTAGGACAGATCTGTGCCTGGGCAGCCCTATCTGGGTCACTCAGAACAGACCCTCGCCTCCACGTCAAGCCTTTTCTTGCACAAAAACAGTACAGCTGGATGCCAAAAATAGCATTTTGTAGACATGTATCAAAAAATACTCCTACGAAGAAGACATGTTTAGATAAGTCAGCAGTCTTTCTTCGTGAAGCAGCAGGGATTAAGTTAATTTACCTAAAGGTTAAACAGTGACTCATTTTATACTGTTCCCGGGTGTGAATTTGATAAATAAAACAATAAATGAGACTCATACTTTTGCCATTTAGGCTTATGTGGCCATTTGAGACGTGGAAAGAGAATTTTGCTCCATCACATCCACCAGACACACATCAGTTACACTGCAAGCTGGAACAGTAAAACCTTTTCCCTAAGCTGCATACCAGTGGACACAGTAGGCACGTGTTGGCAAGTTATTGAGCACGGTGTTTCTCAGAAACACATCAGGTTGCCAGGACAGTCACTGTTTATTTGTGTGTGTTTATAGGCACTACTACTAGCGTGGAAGATTCACGGGTGATCCTTTCATCTTTTTCTCTCCTCCCATCATCTGGAAGCTGGCCCAGAAAACACTTCAAATCCCAAAATGCTCTCTGCTTAACAAGAGGTCAGAGACTAGTAACCGAGAGTACATGAATTACTGTGTGTGGGACAGGGTTATTTATGGTAGTGACCCACATGTGGACACACAGCACACAAAGTCTATGAGATGTTGACATGACGTGTTCGGGTCCTGTTAATGAAGGAGGTCTCGCAAATTCTTCCATGGAAAGAGGGGATCATTTTAAATTATGCAGGTCTTTAAAAAGGTTTAAAAGTAATGGTATAATTTGGCCAGAAGATGGCAGCGCTGCTCCATTAGAAGTATTAGGGAAAGGCGCGGAATACTTAGGGCCAATGAAAAAGCTTCGCCTTTCAAGGCTGAAGCACAAAATGAAGTTATTGTATGAAGCAGGCAATGTAAGAATCAACCCTTTTATTCTATGCTGTGAAAAAGATGAAATCCTCTTCAAGTGAGTAGAATAAGACAACCATGGAACCAGCTGGTGAATTTCACTGCAATGAATGGTAATCAATAGTTTAATTTTAGGAAAACAACTTCCTGTTGCTCTATGTCTCAACCAAGGACACAGACTTTCTGGGAATTGGGAGATATTGGGAACACTGGAGATATTTACTAAAGCAGAAAGACAAATACTCATACAGATTAATTTTCTTCAGATAGGCAGAACAGCACACTTCATATCTAAAGCACTAGATGGAATATGATACTGGCGAGCAGACCCAGTGGGACTGAAACCATACATCCACCTTAAATAGATGTCTCTAAACCATGACCTTGAATAAAAACTAACACAGAGCTCAGCTGGATCCAACACTGTAATGTAACCCTGGTTAGTTACGCAGCACATGTATTTTGAGGCCCCTTATATGAGGTTGAAATGACATGTTACTTATTACTGTCCAATCCATACTAGCACTGCAATACAAAGTGTTCCTGCGCGGGTCAAGTAGCACCCCAGTGGGTGATAATCTGTATCAGTGAACGGATGAGATCATAAAAAATGATGCAATCCCCATGTGTCTAAGTGTGTGTGAGTGTAAATGTGAGAGTGTGTGTGTGCTATTATTCTCCTTTCCTTTGCTCCGGTTCATCTTGGTCTAGCCTGACTCAAGGGAGAGGAGAGAGGACAACATCTCTGACCTTAGAACTGACTCTCATTAAATGCCACTTTTATTTACGAGTAATTCCTGCTTACTGAACTCCTACACCTGCTCAACGGACATGCAACACGCTGGGTTATACTGGGTCATATTTTCTCATCAATCTTCACTCATAAAGGGTTATCTCGCAGGATGTTTAGCAGTAAGTGGAAAGATTTGATTCAAGTTTCATTTTGATTTAAATTTGATTTTAATGGGAATTTGAATGAAAAAGTTATTTTTTACGACATTGTATGCCTTTATCAACAGTACAGATGACAGAGAATGAGGGGGGAGAGAGTTAAGGAATTAGGTCCTCCACCAGGGACACCAGTAACTTATAAGCCACCAGGATGCACCAAAAAACATACGTTTTTTAAAGACTTCTGCAACTGTATGGTATTTAGGTACACCAGGGAATTTAGATAGAATAGTTTAAGATCTTTTTGACTTATGGTAACAGATTCTCATCTCACCTTTATGCATGCAAAAGAGATACAAATGTATTTGCTTTACTTTGTGTAGCATGAAGCTCCTCCTGCAGAGAGAAGCAACAGCTTGATCAAAAACAATGTGCACATATAGCACATAGCAGGGGGCTAGCTCGTCTTTGAAGAAAAGACCTGTCAGCCTCACAGAGAGCAGCTGTAGTTTGCTGTATAGTTACAGTACCGCCGCACGGTGCTTATCCGCTGTGACCAATTAGAGATAGTTTCCATCACCGTGGGATCCTGACTCAGGCTTTCCTCACCAAGAAACAAATGTGCTCTGCTGAGCGGGGAGTGCCAGTGAGATGACACACACGCAGCAGGGAAAGCTACCATAATCAGGGTGAAAACGGCTTTGATGTGACAGATTTCAGGCAGCAGAAGGCGAGAGTGGCTTTATTTTAAGGTTACGTTCTGTAGAGAATAGGGTTGATAATAAGGTTACAAATGATGGCCATCGAAAAGTAGAATTTCTTACTTATTTGCATGAAACTAATCTTAAACTGGCTTCCCTGAAGACCTAGGGAGGGGAATAATGGGGCACAGAAGGCACACTGCAGGTCTCGTTCTATCACACACATCTGCTGGCAGAGCAATCACCAGTGTTAGTGAGCCATAAGGGGCAACTAGCCAGGGCTGAAGGCCAGGCAAGCCACTGCGCACCCTGATTATACCCGTCTTCTCTCTTTCCTCAGCGCCTCTGTCCAACACACTAACTGGTGTTATGTTCTGCTCTTTGCTGACTAAATTCCACTGGTTTGCCAAAGATAACTGACACTCAGCTCAAAATCCAAAGCATCGGACAGAAGTCTAGTCCGCTGTGTCAGCCGTCTTGTTCTCTCCATGTCTCTCCTCACTCTGTTCATCTATGTAAATCTCTCTTTCCCTTTCACTGGTGATAAACTGTCCCTGCTCCCTCACTCTCTGTAATCTGTCATTACTGGGTTCTTGTTTCTCCTCACCTTGATTCACAACATAGCACCGAGCGAGCCAGGTATCAGATTATGCCAATACGTAGCTGCCTGAACCCCAAGATGCCCACCTCATTGCCAAGGTGCCCTGTGCCTTCTATTGTGCTATTCTCTTGTTTCCATAGCAACGATAAATAGAGTACATATTAATTCCTCCAGAAATAGAGGCGGAGGTCACATCCTTTGCTTTCTGGCCTGCCACACGGGTATTGTCTTGTTATGTAACAGACCTAAAGGCACAATGTATTAACGGCTGGCCGAGAGCATGTTTCTTTAAAAAATGTTGCAGCCAACAACATTTTAAAAGGTTATTGTGACTGAAAATTAATTTGCAAAAACTAATTGATTAAAACAGAAGATGAGCAAAACAAAAATCAATTAAGCCCAAAGCAATAAAATGTATTCACATTTTAATTAATTCACCCATATTAATACATTCTAATTGTCTTACTTGGCTTTGGCATCTGCATCCTCATGGCCTTTACTGGACACATCCTCCAAACCTCCAATCAGGTGCTTGAATGAACTGAAACAGAAACAGTGAATTAGTTAAAACAGCACATGATCAAACTTTTCTACATGATTTTGTTCAAGAATCTACAGTCTATCTAGCCCAAAATAATATTCTCCACTTACAGTATATAATGAATGAATAGCTCATGGTTAGAGGAAATTAAGTGGTTTGTTCTGTACACTGGAAAAGATCCGTATAAGAAGCCTGTGCAATATATGGCCAGACAGCGATAAAAAACACTGCCAGTTACTATTAAATATTCATCAGTCTGCTTTTAGAGACAAGCCTCTAAAAAATCACTGAGAACAGACGAGAAGACAGAGCTACCCCAAAGAGGTGTAAAATAGTGTGATAGCAGACGGGGGGCTGAGTGGGAATTTTACAGACAAAGGTAGAGGCTGTGCATAAATGTTTTAATGAATGAATAATAAATTAGAAAACATACTGTGCTGAGTAAAAAAAGTTATCATTAGACATAAAATCCACATGACAATATTTTCTGTTCTCTTAGTACTTTGTACTAAGTGAGTTAAGTTATTCAACTAAAAGAAATCATGCAACAATGTTCTTTTCAGGCCTCAATAATCAAAAAACACAATAATAATTACCGGTACAATAATACTTTTCTTAATAGATATACCAGAACTTAATTAAAGGACCGGGGTGTAGGATTTAAAGGCATCTAGCAGTGAAGTTGCAGATTGCAACCAACTAAATGCTGCTCGCCTTCCAAGTGTGTAAGAGAAACTATGGTGGCCAGGAAATTTGTGAAAAACCAAAAAGGCCCTAGGCTATTGTGAAACATGGCAGTTCAATATGGCCGACTCCCTAGAAGGGGACCTAATGGTAACAAAAACACAAGCTAATTATACACTAATGAACTTATACTTATGAATATTATATTCCATTGCCAATAGATCGCCCTAAATGTTACACACTGGGCCTTTAATTGTCATGACTATGACTAAATAGGATTAGAAAGTTAGAGAAAGATTACAATGAGATGTTAACTGGAGAATAATAAGCTACACAATATATAAAATCCTCCAGAGTTGCACTCACGGGAGACCTGGCACATGAAAAATAATAACTGCACTTTGGTTCATTTCTCTCTGAAGTTTGGCTGCGTATGCTAAAAGACATCCTGGAAGAACAACCAACTGAGACAGTTTTCATACAAAGCTCATCAAGCTGTCAGCCAGACGATGTAATACATCTGGTGTTCTCTCCTGTTGAGACCATAATGCCTGTGAGCTGGCACTGTTTCCGTGCTGAGCTTTTCTTTAAATGTTTCACTGCTTACAGTGTCTGCACTGAATCGGTGACTCCCTGCCGCTTGTTTTTATTCCCTGTCTCTTTCCCACTGTCTCTATCTCCTCCCTTTTCATCCAACACAGCTCCTGCAGTTATCCTTATCTTACCTCTTAAGCTTTACAGTTTTGTTTTAATGCATCACACATGTGTGGACATACAGGGAATGAATAAACACAGAGAGAATAACAAAGGTTTAAATACTAACCTGGCATCTGCACTAAAACTGTTCTGGTTGGGGTCTGTGGGTTCTAGTTCTGTGGGCTGTGACAGCATTAGCTACTTGTATGACAGGCGGTGGTAATCACCTGTGCTGGATGACTCACTCACTATCCCCTCTGCTAGCTGTGAGGATGGCCCATTTGTGCCTGCCGTGTTCCCTGAGGCCAGAGGGAGGCCCTGGGTAAGCTGATACCATCTACCATCCTCCCCACACCCCATATCCATCTGTCTCTATTCTCACCACATGACTTAATGTTAAAGATGGAGATGGAGTTTTTTTTTGTTTTTTTAAGTTTGATCTTGCTGTTACTACATGATAAACATTGTAGTATAATGTCAAACCGTGTAACTGCAATCAAAGGAGCGCAGCAAATATTTGAGCTGAGATTAGTTTAAAGGGCAATGTGGATTTTCTCTTTGATAATCTTCTAGCAAACATCAGTAAAACAATTGCATTCATTAGTCATTATTGCACAAATGGAGCCTAAAACTAAATTCTTTATTGGAATTGATTTAGGATTAAGGATTTATTTAGGCCTATCCTCTCTTGACGTCACCTAACTGTCCAAATCTTTCATTCATTCAGTGGTTTGCGTCTTGAAAAGATTTACACGAGAGTTAGGTGAGTCCTGAAGATAGAAGCTCGATCAATCGGCAGAGTCAGACAGGTGATGACGTGAATGCCTTTTATGACTCCCAAACGTGTGAAGTAAAGTGAAGCATGATCCTGCAAATCTATTTCTCACCTAAAAAATAATCTTATTGTATACTTTAGGACCATTATAATTTCCACGAGAGCCTTCATGTTTTTTAGATTGAAAAGCAATGACCCTTAAATGTGTGCTATATTTATCTACTATAGTGTAGCAGTGGGTTCATGTTGATGTCTCAGTAAAGGTAGCACTTGTGTAGCCTCTGATTGCTTGAACATTGAGCAAAGCAGAATTTATGGGCTAAGTTTGCATGGCTGCACATGACAGACATTCATTTGCTGGCCAAATGCATTTATTTTTAATGGATTTTTCTTTTTTGATACTCACTCTCTGTCGATGACCAGACACGTGACTGCTTCTGCCGAAATGACGTTGGCCGTCCTGATGTCCTCCCTGGATAAAAAGATCATACAACACAATCAGGCACGGTAACAAAATTTCCACATTTGATCCAATGATCACACACTGTGAGGCCATTATTAAATCAAATTATTATTAATTTAAAATATATCAGAGCTGTGATGATGGAAACATTATGTCTTATTCAACTCCATTCGCTCCATAAATGACATTGGTACACAATGAAAACATCCCTCTCAACAGGCAACACACAGTACTGCATGATTGGCATTACTCTTTATTATATTTGACATCAAGCTCATCTTCCTCTGATGATGACGCTTCTTCAGAGGAGTCGCCCCAGTCGCATGAATCCTCCGAGTCTGTGTCCCAAGAATCCATCCTTCACTGTGAAGAATTTTCTGCACACAGAATCCCACAGCGATAAGCTCTAACTCTGAACCAGCGCACTGCCCGGGGCAGCCCTCCAACAAAGGAAACGTCTGTAGTACTTGTGTATAAACCTCTTATCCAAGTGCAGTGTTATCCACGATATAACGCAGACTAAAATATCACATTATTAATATTACAGTTCTGTTCTAGAGAGTTGATTCAATTCAACCGAAGTGCTAACAGTAACTGACAATCACTCTCTGTGTCTGATCTGAACTCAGACATACAGCAACCTATTTCAATGAGCTGAGGTGATAATTCCTCCTCATGCTATGTCAACTCCCTCTGCCTTCCCTCTTCCAAACACACACACACACACACACAAACACACAACCCTCCCTCCCCACGCACAGACTCGCACACACACACACTCTGCTTCACTCTTTCTGCTGACCCCTTTGAATAAAGGTCACAGCTGGTGGGGGAACAACACACTTTGAAAGGTGAGGACTACAGAGGAGAAGAGAGCAGAGGAGAGGAAGGCAGTGTTTGTCACGGGCATGGGATATATTAACAGATGACTATTGGGGGCCCTCTAGCTAGCATAGCACATACAGTATTTCATTCACCTTTGCTAAGCTCCTATGACCTGCATCCATGCTCTTAACACAATACTCTGGCTAACACTGCTCCACCTGTTCTTCTGTTTGGCCTCAACAGCATTCAGTATCATTAACAAGCACGCTTACAGTATTAATAACCAGGTTAATGGGTGAAAGAAGAACAAATGTCCCAGTTTGAAAGAAGAAGCAGAGCCACACCATGTTTGTTACTTCTGATTATGTGATAATTAGTTTAGTATTGTATTATTAGTATTGAGGTGCGAATAGTTTTGGATTAGTTTAATTCATAAAGGAAAGCATAAGAGACCCTCATAACGTAGTTTTAATCTGATGATTATTCAAATATTCAGAAGCTGAATTGGGAGTCAACTTGCACTGTTAAGGGATGTTGGGGGACAAATGCTTGTAATGTGCCAGCTGTGAGTTTGCCAGTAACAATGTGCCAGCTGTCCCTTTTCAAAAGCTATACTCTCTGCTTCTACAAATTTACCTGCCTGTGTCGAGTAACGTGAACGACTTATTCAATTAATTTCAAATAATGTATATGTATGTATCCAAGGACACGACAAAAATGCTTCTCAAATAGATGTTCATTCAAAATGCTGAATAGTCATGAGTCAGTAACTCTGACTAAATTTAATTTCACTTTTCATTCAGATTCAGATTCTCATTTAATATAAAATTTTTGCAGATTATGTGTAAGATTTTCTAGATGGTACAAAAGTCAACGCATCAAACAAACAGACACACACACACACACACACACACACACACACACACACACAGTTTTCTCATCAGTGATAATGAGTTACCACAACAGTGACACCCGCAATCTGTTACACGAGTTAATTTGTCTCATAAAAGAAAGTGTACAGTGTTTGTATGATTTACTAACTATGGTGATACAACAAAACAACACAACACTTTGGGCTATATTGAAATTGTGGTTACGTAAGCATAAATCATCCTCAAGGGACCTCAAGGGTTTCATTTTAGAGAACCGCTTGTTACACCTGTCCCCTGCTGCTCGACTGTAGCTGAGGAAAACAACTTTGTGTGCCATTGTATTGATACTAGCAATGCTCTATGTGAAACACAATCGCTAAATAATATCTGTCAGAATGATTCATTTGCACACCGCTGAGCCTAAGTCATCCACTAAGCCCAAGATGGCTCTGCACTTGTTAATTGCGGCACAACAAGAAATGCATTGGAAAACAGACAGACAGACACACACACACACACACACACACACACACACACACACACACACACACACACACACATGCTCAAGCACAGACGTACTAAAAGCAGCTGCATGCTGTGTCTGGAATGTCCTTTGGACTTACACAGGAGGGAGACTGTGGTGTTGATTTCCAGTAGATAGTTGAAATGAACCTGGTAATTGGACGGTGATCTGGTGTCCCGGGAAGGGGGTTAAGAAAATAACGTTCAGGCTTGGAGGCTGAGAGTGGGGCAGTAGCTAGTCAGGACTGGGGCAAGAACAAGAGGTGGTCGTGGGATACACAGCCAATCATTTGTGCTTCAATTCTGTGACTGGGAGGTATTCAGGTGGGCCTGGATGGCTGTTGATAACTTCACAGGTTGGTATTAAAGTAAATGACTGCAGCAGTGTTTGTGCAGCTTTTTCCCATTTACTACAAATCGTGCATTTTCCACATAACTGCAGAGTATGGCCACATTCCAAGGCATACCATACATTTTTTACATTTATGAATATATTTTTACCATTCTTGCAGGCTGCCACTGGCTGAAATTGCTCTAAAAACACTTCCCTATTGGTGCATTCCTGTTCTGTTTTTCAAGCTTCAACATCCAAGGCTTAAGTGTTAGCTGCTGAACATTATTCATAAGCTATGTTGTTAGAATTGCCAAACATGGACAGCATGAAAAAGAGATGTCTGGGCCTGCCTCAAACACACCAACACAATAACTGCGAACCAGTGTTTCTTGTGTATAGAATTTATTTTATTGGCCTGCCCAAAAATAAACCGTTTATGGCAGTGTTTGTATTTATTATTTCTCACTCTCTTTGGATTTGGACATGCAGTTGACAGATCAGTCTGCCCGAATGGTACATGCTCTAGCTGCAGCTGACTCTCAATGCTTAATGTTGTTTTCAGATCCCCCACCAACCCCACCCCTATACCCCTTGGGTTCCAACACCTAAAATAAATGTTTGGCCTGTGGGAAACTCTAAACAGTCCCTGTTCATAACTGCATTACAACACGACAATTGTGCATGTTTCCAAAATAAAAAAAGGCAACGTGGGATTCACTTTGATGAAGTATTTCTCAAGCAGTCTCAAAAGAGCTTCAAATCTTTGGTATTTCATTGGGTTTTCATGCTGAATGTATTGAGAGCAGCAGCTGTATAAAATAAGAAATTATTCAGTCTAAAAACCTGTTGAATGCTTTAGAGCAACGCAAAATATACAGAGGATACAGACAGCAGCAATGTAAATAAAGATTTTGTAGTTAACAGCAAGTGGCTTAAGATAATGCTTTGACTCATGGGGCATAAACTATTAAAAGACTGAGGGTATGGCTTGGAGTGAAGGGAGAGGGGTGCAGCATTCATTTCAATGAGACCACTGTGTTGGTTTAGTATGGATACCGCCGCAGTAATGTTAGGGGGAAAAAACAGGTTCACTTGGCAAAAAGGTTGATTCTGGCTCAACCTTCGCAGCAGCACAGTTCATTATGTGCAAGCGCACAGATAAGGTAACAAGACTCTTGTCTCTACAGTTATGCTATAAACTCTGTTAGGCCATACTAAAGCCTGAGCTACATGTTAACATGAGTATTAAAACATGTTCCCAATGACAATATTAACATGCTGAGGTTTAGCAGGTATAAACACGTTCATCATCTTAGTTTAGAATGTTATGTAAGCATGATAACACTTGATAATAGGGACAAAACAATGTACTTTAACAAGTGTTTGGTCATGAACCAAAGTACTGGACACATGATGGCACTAGATTAGATGAAAAGTCACGGGCTCACATAACAGGGCCACTTACCAGTGTGTAGGATTTATTGGCATCTAGCAGTGTGCCCTTGCCTCACCCTCCCATTCCAAGCATGAGGGAGAAACTACAGTGACCCTATCTAGAGCCAGTGTTGGCTTTGTCTGTTCTGGTCTACTGTAGAAACATGACGGTTCCACATGGCGGCCTCTATTGAAGTGGACCTGCTCCCTCTGTAGATAAACACGGCTCATTCTAAGGTAACAAAAAAAACAAGTCTTATTTTCAGATGTTTCAGATATTTAATTTCTGCCAATAGATCCTCCTAAATGTTACACACTGGACCTTTAAGTCACCAGAATACATCCTCTTGGAAATAATCAGTGTCTGTACAAAATCCTAAGGCAATACATCCGATATATAAGATATTTCAGGCTGTATCAAGCCACCAACAGGCTGACATTGCCTACTACATTGCCTGCTGTTCATGTCACAAGCGTAGCTGTTGAAACAGGATAAACTTGTGCTGTTAACTTGCCAGATTTGTCAGATTAAAAAAAAACCTGCCACAAATGATTAAAAACCACTGTGCAGCGCTGCTATCTGCCTTCAAAGTGGACTTCTTGGTTTGTTTCATCTTCTCACCCGTACCTGTGTTAACATGCCTGCACTAACACAGCCTCTCACCATGATTTAACACAAGGCTGTGTTGGTCTAAAAGTGGTTTGACAGTGACACCAACCACATTTCTGTCAGGGACATCACATCTCTCATCCTATACTGGAACACCCCTACAGACACACACACACACACACACACACACACACACACACACACACACACACACACACACACACACACACAAAATACACTCAGGAGAGGAGGTCAGGGAACTCATTGCTTTACACCTACTAAGGTGTACTTCTACACCTTGAGGCTTAGGTGTAGATCCGTCAACTTCACCATGACAGGAAGGCTGTGAAATGAAATATGTCGTTAGATACATCCGTCTTTTCCTGGAACATCCACCTATTGGGTCGAGATACAGATACGGTAGCCGACTGTAGTATTCATTAAGGGCTACACAACCCTGTAGAGAACATGTAATCTGATATTTCTTCGCGGCTGCTTTAATTCACACACACACACACACACACACACACACACACACACACACCGCACACACAGAGAGAAACCATTATGGCTGGCAGAAGAACAGACTTTGATTTGTAAATATGTTGTTCTCACAGATCAAAGGCAATGTCTTCAGATGGACAGAGTAGCCTTTGAGTAGGGGCTATTGAGTTTCATGAGCAAGGACACACACAGTTAACTTCTAATTAGAAAGATGGCCCTGCAGAAGAGCCCTCTGATCAAAAGCCTGGTTCGAAGATGGCCAGCCTCACAATCATTTAAATTTGCGAGACATGCTCCACCATCAAAGGCGCAGTTGAAAAGGCTTCTCTCGCTCAAGACACACAAAAGGTGTTCCCAAGCAGATGCTGAGGTGGGTAGAACACTTTGTTTTAGTGGGATATAGAAAGGAGATATAGTTTTCTTGATTAAACAAAGCATGAGATGCTCTTGATGGTGCTTTGAAGAGCCCTTTTGAACGGCACACTACTTGAAATCGTATTCTGGATACACTACAAATGCACTGATGTAACTATATGGATGTGAAGTATTATGTATATATATAAGGGCTCCTACAATATGTATGTGAATTCCTCAGTCCATTATAAATTAGTACTTTGTGTCATGCTCTCATTCATCAAAGAGCACATTTTTACGTCTCATTAGTGTAAAAGGATCAAATTTCTATTTGGAACAACCTACTCCTCCCACTGCCGGGAGATCAGGCTTCCCGTGCCTCACATGTCCCACATGCATTTTAATGCTCTGTCATAATTTAAATCCTATAGTCATTAGCTTTAACATATGGGGAAAGCCCAGCCATCTGTGCAATTCCAGCTGTTTCCTGAACACACATCTAGAGTGATCCTTTTGAAGATAAAACAGTGATTTACAGTGTGTTTTGACAACACATGAACTAGCATTTATTCTTCACAGGATACTGCTTTGGTTCAATTTAAGCCTCTTTGTGTTTTAATGTGTTTACTATAAGTTCTTGAGGTGTGATTGTTAAGAGCCTGGAAGCTAATTTGAGGTGGCTTCCACACTCTGCGGCCACAAGATGGCGACATCTCCACTTCTTTAATGTTGACACTGTCGGCTATGTGCATGCATGCAAATGTATGAGCATGAATGCATACAGTGTGTTGTCTGTTTCTACCTGACCCCTTGCAGCCATAAGACTTTTTTCCATACCCTCCCTCTGTTTTAATAATGCATTGTGCATGGAGGCGCACAATCGTGACAGGACAGAACAAATAAAAAACATCACTTTGATGCCTGAAGCATAAAAGCAAATTTTTATTACACTGAAGTGTCCTTTCAGTGAAAGTATTTGAGTGCTTAGAAGGCACCTAATGTCACCAGTGCCTGTGAATCATTTGATCCCTGCAGTGTATACGTACAGCCTGGTTACTTCAAACTTGCCACGGTAGCTAGAATGCATGTTCCTGGCACAGGCTTACACAGTATAGATGTATAGATATCTGCTTACTACCTGTTTCTCTCTATCGGCAGACGCTGCTCTGTTAGTAACAGCAACTACGCTCACATATTCAACACAACTGTTCATAAGAGATGTTTGAAGAGAGTGAAGAGTCATTATTACAGTCAATGACAGCATGAGGATGTCCTTGATATCACAATGCTCTGGCAACCAAGACAGAAAAAATTCTAAAAATAAATAAATAATAACCAAGCATATAGATAATATTGTCCAAATGAAATGAGTCTTCAGCTTCGAGCATACTATATGACTATCAAACACCAAAGTCTGCTCACAATAAATGACTTCTTCACTGCAGTTTCTTGTCTGTGTGACATACAGTAGCTGTGTGCAAAATATAGCAGACGGGTTGTCACTTGGTGTGGTTCTGAGGGATCTCCACTGTCACTTGAATATAAACACTTTTTTTTCCTCTTTTGATTTGGGCAAAAATAGAGCGTGAGGAAGAAGAGCATGTCACACAGTCATTGTATGTGCTCTCAATTGTACTTTCTGCAAAGGGGGTTGGAGGTAAAATAGCTGCATCTTTAGATATTCATGCTGTTTTTTTTATAGTATCAGCTAGAA